GAAGATGTTTATTTTCATTGGGTTGCATCACATGCACTCTCTAAAACCGAGCCATTCCAATTTTATCTCGTTGAAAACGTGGCCTGTTATTATTGTGACACCAACGGTTCATATCACCATATATTCAACCATCAAAAGCAGGTTCACCCAAAGGAACCAAAAGTGATTGTGACTGGGTTTGATCAAACGTGCGCCCTATGTTCATACGAAGGGAATGGAATGGCAAGCCATTTTATAAAGGACCACACACAATTGCCAACGCGATTGAATGACACCTTGACGAACGATATGTTGGCATGGTTGTTGGAGATTGATATGAGGAAAAAAGATGGTGACTGCGGCATAGAAGCAAATAACACAAGAAAGCTGTTGAGTTTTGACATGATTGACCATGTAATTTGTGGCTGCAAATCGAAGGTTCATCGACGTAATTATTTCGGTCACATTGAAAGCCATTTACTTGATTTCGATTGCAATGTATGCAAATCAAAGTTGCCATCATCAGTGCAGAAGTTCACTAGCTTGATCGATGTGGTGAAGCATGACAAGGACGCCCATCAAATGAATCAATCGTTGATTCCACGCTCTTGGCAAATGGAGGATCAATTCAAAAAAGATCATTTGAATACGAAGATTGTGTTTAAAAATGGTCTTGTGGTTGCCATGCGCCATTTGGTCAACACAAAATTCGACATTTCCATCAAATTCAATGAATGCGTTCAGATTTTATTGGACGCCAAGAAAAAGGAATGCAATCGATTGATGCAAATCGAAGACATTTCGCAGAAGACGACAAAAGTCGATGTACCAGTATTATCAAGCGGATCTTTAATTTCTGACGAGCAATTGGAGCTGCAGAAACAAAATCAACTCATCAATGACGTATTTATTCATGGCATTCCCTATAAGGACAATGAAGATTTGGTGTCGTTGGTATTGAAAATGAGCAAATTTTTGGGTGCAAATATTTATCCGGAGGACATTGCACATGTCAAACGGCCCTCACGTCACAAAGCGATTATTACACTCCGATGCACCAGCCAGGAAGCCAAGGCTGAACTTTTGAAATACAAAAGCATTCATACCACAGACGTTATCCCTTCAAGTCGTGACCATTTTCGGAAAATCCACATCAAATCACTGACCACGAAATATGTTACCAATCTGATGAAATTTGCAAAAGATTTTGCTCAACAAAAGCTATTGCACCATTTTCAATGGACTGAAAAAGGTCTGTTTGTAAAACGGTCAGAGAATTGCGATGGCAAATACTTTATGAACAAAACTGAACTGATAAACTACGTGAAGTGAGCGCAACAGCTGACAAATAATAATCAATTGAACAAAATAGTTCTAAATTTTTTTTAGAAAATTTGATTCCATTGTATTTCAAACTAAATAAAGACATTTTTTATCGATTTTTTGTCTTTTTTTGTGGGGTTTTTGTTTTGTACAGATAATGGGATGAAGAAGATGTATTTCTATCTGTAAATTGGCATATGAATTTTAGTTAGAATGGATGCTTTGTATTTTTCCCACCTCTTCAATTTAAAGGCTTTTCCCATCTCTCGAAAGGTTCTTTTCATGTGCCGATGAGCATCTTTTATTTGAAAGCGAACTCTAAAAAAGACACACACGTGACTTGCACGTGATTTTTTCTGGTTTTCGATGCCAAATCAGGTCATTATTGCGAACAGATCGTCGGGTGCAAAAAACCTTAAGAGTCAACTTTTGGAAATATTTCTGGTTCTAATTTAGCTCATAATCTAAATAAATACTTCATGGATGTATTTTTGAGAGAAATATTTATTGAATTTTAATTCATAGAAAAGAATAAAGAATATTGGAATGTGTCGTGTTTGATTATTATTTCATGTTTTTATGATTTTTAATTTTGATCAAATTCGGTAGAATTTCAGGTTCCAGATCAGACCTCTGCTCACATCTGGATCATTCTCCAAGATTGGATCGTCATGAAATTGTACTTTGAAATCGGAATCCATTTGAACTTCGGACTTCAACAAAAGGCCAGATGCACAATTTCTGGGTGGATTTAGCTCCAAGCGAATCTCGTGCATGGATGAAGGTTTGATAAGAATTGGATTGGGCAATGATACGTACACTGCCAATAATCCCAATTTTTGTTCTCCTTCAAACAAAACCACCTCTCCGTCACTTGATGGATCCTCTGCGATTGGCATTCTAACGATCGTTATCTTCACCGATAGGTGCTCTTTTAAGTTAAAATATTGGTTATTGCGATTTTCGAAAAAAAAGCCGCTAAAGAATCCATTTAGAAAGGCCGGCTCATTGATGGAGAATGTGGTTGTTTCCAAGTTTTTGATGAAATATGGTAAAGTCGACCTACGGCTCGAAATAAGTCGATTGCACTTAACAACCACCTTGTTTTTCGACGGATCAACTTCACATCTCTTTGCTCGGTTTCCATTAAACATCTTTGGCTGGAAATCATCGTCTGCAATCATTTGAATGATGTCCTGATGTTCGCAAATTGAAAACAATTCTCCATAAGATGGGATTAAGCTAGCAAATTCTTTGAGTGTCATTGATCCAAAGCGAATGTCATAAAATATGCGGCCGAGTTTATCTTGCACCATTTGTTTCGTCACGATTTCCTCTCCGCTTGTAGATTTGATCCATGCCATACAAGCTTCGAAGAGCTCAATTTCAGAGCATGACAACCAATTCAACCGCACAATCCGGGACAGTGTCTTAGCATCGCATGTCAGGAAGTCAGTCGATTTGAGTACCGCTTTGGCGTTGTAGCCGATCATCTTTTCGCACGATTCCATCAACTTTTTCTGCTCGAGAAGCACCGCCAGTTCGTAACATTCCACGTTGTTGTTTTCGTCCAACTTCCGTTTCAAGAACTTCTCGCAAACCATCAAACATTCGGCAACATTGTATCTATGGCCCAATTTCATGACCTTGGCCACATTTTCTGTGGTCATCGTAACAGGGTCGAGGTAAAAGAATTGCAAAAATTCCTTGAAAACTTTCGCTGTTGTATCCACGATCTTCACCTCTTTTTTCTCTATCCACGATCCATTGAACATGGTGGCAAACACATCGCTGGCAGCGATCAAAAATGTTTTGTGCGCCGGAACGCGTTCGACTGGTTTGCCTTTGGACTCAAACACGAAGTACACATCGGCCAGTTCGGTGTTCAGATACAACTTTTTTCCAATTCGAGAGAGCAATTGAGTGGAGAAATCAACTTGAGCCAATTTGGAATTCGACATGATTTTTAATCTGTGAAGTGATACAACACAAAATGAGTTAGCTCGCCAGATATTGTTCAACAATTTTGAGTTACTTACGTATCAAATAGCAATGAGGGTGAAAAAAAAATTGAGATTTGCCTTCGTGAAGATAGAAATTTTGAATATTAATTATTCAATCGATGATAGGAAAATAACTATTACTTTTCCGCACACACCTAGTGTGTAAGGTAAAGTATTGGAATCGGTCGAAAAATTAACACCCTCAAAAAACATGTTTTCTGGGTGTTTTAGGAGCCGGGGAACACGAATCTAGCGTTTTTTCGATGTCCGAATGTATGTGCGTACCCTGTACCCTGTACCCTGTACGCTGTACCCTGTACGCAAAAATTTGTTAACACGATAACTTTCAAACAAGAAAAGTAATTCAAAATCTGACTTCACAGGATGATTGGGGGTGCCGAGGAATAGAAACCATTAGATTTTGAGCGACTTTGGTTGACAGAGTAAAGTGTCATGTCTGGTGTGATGCCCATGGCCATCCATGGGAAAAATTCAATTTTTCTTCCAAAAGTGATATTTAATGTATTCTTAAACATCCAAAAATATGTATTGGGGGGTTTTTGGGTACGAGAAAACCGAATATGACATTAGTTTTGCGATACAAATATATTTCGACACACCTTTCATACAAATATTTCAAAAAAATTGGATTTTTGTATGGAAGCCATGCCTGTATGATATCGTAATGACCTGAAACTTTGCACAGGTTATTTTTATCACACAAAAATAACATTCCGAGAGTTTGAAGACATTTCAACTCATATTAGGGGTACCTCCCGAACAAAATTTTGGATTTTTCGCTCAAAAACGAAATTTTGTATGGGAAGTACCCTTAATATGCATTGAAATTTCTTCAAACTTTCAGAATGTTAATTTCTTGTGAAAAAAATAACCTCTGCAAATTTTCACATGATTACGATATCATATAGGCATGGCTGCGATATAAAAATTCCCATTTCTAGTAGTTTTTGTATGAGAAGTGCTTCGAAAATTATTTTTATCGTAAAACTAATGTCAGATTCAGTTTTCTCGTGAATTCTTTGAGTAAAAGATTTGTAATAAATGCATGTCGTGGATCACAGTGCGGAAAAGTTCATCTTACGGATGTAAGACATTTTATTTTTATTGGGAGAAACAAGTGAATTTGACGATTTCGGACGATTTTAATATATTTTATCGGAATTACACAACATGTGTTAATATGAGTAGTTTGGAATAGGTTTGCTATGGCACACGCTAAATGACAGCTAATGCTACTTTGTGGTTATGTTTTATTTCATTTCGCCCATGTTCGCCACAAAGTTATTGTAGAGCCAAATTTGACTTATAATACAGAAAAACATGATTTCAAAAATGTCATAAATTCAAATAAAATGCTTTAAATAAACCCATCTAAAGTTTCCTTCATTTCCATCCCTTGCACTTCTCATTCATTGTCTCCATTTAACACATTGAAATAAAAGGAAAAAAGCTTCGAGTCAAATAAAATCCCATTGTTAATCTAAAAAAATGATGAATGAATTTAATTTGAAAATCGTTGGTTTTATTTGAATTTAAAGATTGCCAACTTCATCTTGGTACGTTAAATTACCAACACATACATTGTTATTGCCTTTATTCTCGTTGCCAACTTAACAAATTGATTATATTATATACAGAGTACTGCGCAATAAAAGCATACCAGACAGAAGGAGACGGCCATTTGACGGAGAAACACGTAATTGCCCTCTATTTGCGCCCAAAAATATTGAATATTTTAAAGGTGAGTTTTAATCATTATTATTTAAGAGTGAGAATCAGACATTGAATAGACGTAATTGAATTAGTTCTAGTCCAAACAAGTAAATTAACAATTTTCCTTGGGAATTTTTCAATAAAATCATTTTGATCGCTTTTTTTGGAATATAATTTCTCAATTTTTGTAATAATAATAATTATTCTATTTTTTGGCGTTTACATATTAATTTTAATTTATAGTCAATTTAAGCAATTTTGGATTGAAAACATCTGTTTTATCCAATAGAGAATAAATTTTCTCGATTTTCAATACAGTTGGTGTTTCTGAGAATTTGCTAGTTTTTTCCAGAACATTCTTTGTTAACGAAAATTTTCCATGACGTCACGGCCTCGAAAAAAATTGATTTAATACTTATTCGCTAAATTATTTACACGAACTTTTTCTTCTTGGCAACAACAAGTGTGCCTTTACGGAATTATTTTTGTTGAGCTTTTGAGATTCAATCAGTGTACAACCGAAAATAAAATTTTAAAAATAATAAATTCCAATATAGTTCTTACAGATTCAAGAAGGGTCATCATGGTCTTCAATTCAGATCCAGGTGAAGGTACCTCAGATGGTCGAGTTAAACGCAAGCGAAAACAAAATCCAAGCAAATCAAAGATCAAAATCAAAATCGAAAACGATGCCAAAGTGGAGCCAATTGACGACGCGTATTTGGTTCAGTACTCGCCACCACCATCACCAATCGAAGCAAGTGGCAAAATTAAATCAGAGAGCGAGAGCGATGACGAACTGGATTTGAAAAGCTTCCCTGATTATATGAAAACAGAGATCAAGACCGAGAAAGACGAATGTTCAAAGAAGAAATGTGTCGCTCCAACAGATGGAAACTCAAATAAAAATGCTAGAGATGACCACGATGGTACGAATGGAGCCAACTCGAAAGGAAATGTAAATGATAACGAAGAACAGCATCAAAGTAAGCTGAAAGCAACAAAGAAAAGAAGAATGAAGAAAAATGACAAACAAAATGTCCAGTTTGATTCAGCTGAAACAAAAGATGGAAAAAAATATAAATGCAATTTGTGTAGTTATTCTGCAACGTATAAATATATACTCATGAGGCATATGCGAACCCACACAGGCGAAAAGCCTTTTGAATGCGAAATATGTGAAAAGCCTTTTACACAAAAGCATCATTTGAATCGACACAAGAAAGTCCATGCCACCGAATTTCCATTCCATTGTCTAAAGTGTCGTCGTGGATTCAACAAGGAAGTTGAAAAGATTGAGCACGAAAATCAATGCCAACAGCGTCAGTATGAATGCATTGTATGCAAATACACCACTGTCATTTCCTCCCATTGATAACAACAAAAGATATTAATAGTCTATTCAACACCTTTTCATTTAAATTACTTTTTCTCTTCAATAAAATAAATTATCATTTCCAAATCATTATTACCATCAACTGAATTGCATCAAAAATACTGGAAATTCAAATAAAATGCATTGAATAAACCCATCTAAAATTATCTTCATTTCCATCTTTTGCATTTCTCATTCTTTGTCTCCATTTAATACGTTGAAATAAAAGGAAAAAAGCTTCGAGTCAATCAAAATTTCATTGCTTACATCAAAAAATGATGGATGAATTCCCCTTAAAAATCGTTAGTTTTATTTGAATTTAAGGATTGCCATTTGCAATCAATTCTATTAACCAAGCATTCGGTGGCTGTCAAATGTGTAAATGTCACCAATTGGAGTAATAAAGCGAAATCGTCATGCTGCTGCTTTAGAAAAAGGAATTCAAAATAATAACAAATTAACTTCCAAGAATAAAGGAATAATTAGTTTCATTTATTTTGACACATTATGTAATTGTTACTTTAAAAAAAATACAATTTATGATGAAATGGAACACACGTAGTAGACCAAACACAACTTTTCTTGACTGTATCAAATATTTGTAAAACATTCACTTCGTCTCAGCCATGGCTTTTAGTTTTCCGAATGTTAATTGTGAAATTTCTGTCTCGCTCAAAAATATATCATAATTTCGTTCTAATCTCTGCTTAATATCCGCACTAATCAACGAATCCATGCCCAAACTGACGAATGGTGTTTGATCTGATATACTTGCAATGTCCTTAATTTCCAAAATACTGGCAACGCAGTCGACCAATGACAAATCACTACTGATATCTTTATTCTTTTCAGCGACGACCATTGAGGAAAGTACGGCGTCCGACTGTTGCATAAACACATCAATGGCTTGCAAAACCGATGTGATACGTTGTGGTAGTACACCTTCAAAAACCGAGTCATTGTCGCCTGTATGATTGATAAACATGCCAGTGTCTCCGATGGCTCCCCATTGTATCGCTGTTCCAGGTAATCCAGCAGCTTGTCGACTTTCACAAATTCGTTCCATGGCTGAATTGGCCAAACCATAATTTGTTTGTCCACCAAGACCTCGTCCGCTGGCTATACTTGAAAAGCAGACAAAATGCTTCAATCCGGGGCATAGCTCACGTGAAACAGTATCCAAATGTTTGGTCCCATTGATTTTTGGCATACAAACCGCTTTGTAATCGTCTTCTGTTTGATTTTTCAATAAATTAACACGCAAAATACCAGCCAAATTGAAAATTCCAGAGACTGGTCCCAATTTGTTCGCTTCTTTTAGTAAATTCTCCGCTCCCACCAGTGTTGTAATGTCATTTGTATCAACTAAAACATTAACACCCTTTTCGATCCAACGACGAATCATTAGTGATTGATAACCAGTCTTAACACCATTACGTGATGTCAATACCAATTTGGTGGCACCACGTTTTACCATCCAATTGGCCATTTCCAAGCCAAGTCCACCCAACCCCCCGACTAACACATACGATTTTTCACTGTGAAAATAAGTTCGTGGAATGGCAGCAATTTGTTTTGGTACTGGCTTTTGTGCGGCTCGAAATTCCTCGTTGCGCACTTTAATAACGACTTTACCAATGTGCTTGCCGCCGGCCATAAAACGAAACGCTTGCTGAACTTGTTTGTCACTGAAAACAGTCGTGGGCAATGGTCGAACGGCTCCGTTTTTAATACCTTCAGCAACCAAATCGACAACGGTTTCAATTGTTCCATCATTGCTGGCCATGATACTGTCCAATAAAATACCATGAAATGAGGTGTTCTTCAAGAACACCGACATGCCCAGCGGTGAATTATTGTTCAAGTCAAACTTTCCGATCTCCAAGAATCGACCGTTCAGACCCAAACAGCGAACTGACGCCTTCAGCATTTCATCAGCAAGTGAATTTAGTATTAAATCGACACCTTTGCCATTCGTGGCATTCCTAATAAATTGCTCAAATGATGTGTCACGCGAATTTCCAATGTGAGCATCCGTCAATTGTGGAAATGTCTTTTTCAAAAATGTACGTTTTACTTTGCTACCAACTGTTGTGTAGACGGTCAATCCATGATGTAAAGCGACACGAATTGCTGCTTGACCAACACCACCGCTACCAGCATGAATTAGAATCGATTCACCTTTTTTCATTTTTCCTCGGACCACCAGAGCATAGTAGACCGTTGAATAGACGCATGGAACAGTTGATGCTTCTTCCATAGTCCAATCGCTTGGAACTTCCCACATCATATTCCGTTGGGCGACACAAGTTGTTGCCAGTGATTTTGCTTCAACCATGGCCATTATACCTGGGATTTTATCAAATATCAATTATTAATTTTTTTATTGAAAAAAATATTTGCTTTGCGGAAAATTCTTACGTTTTCCACTCGAATCCCGTCCCGAAAACTCCAGTCCAAGGATACAATCATGAGTAGGTAAATTCCCTGGCAATGCGTCAATGGCCAATTTTCCAGTGCTTAACATGACGTCACGAAAATTGATTGGTGCATAATACACCGAACACAATTCAACTCGTTTATCCATCGGGTCAGGCATTTGACAGGTCAAGCGGCTTTCGATCCATGACAAGCTCGTGAAATCACCCTTGGTTAATGTGTTCACATAAGCGTGTTCAACTTGACGCACCGAGTTTTTGTTTGACGCACAATTCAATTTCAAGTGTCTATACGTTCCCCATTCACCGTTTTTATACACATTAAACATCAAATCCATTTTCAATTGTTCCTCATATGCTTTGTTTGTAAATGAAAATCCCTCAGCATCATCATTTTGAATGAAGAATAACCGTGCCAATTGGCCGCCATTTTCAAGCTTTAAACAATTCATAAAACCGCAAGCACCCGATAGTTGTTCGCCTTGTGCAACAATGTATACATAGGTACCATCTTCTTCGGCCGTAGCAAAAGCTGACTTTAATTGTTCGACGTAGGAAAAATCGCTTTCGGTGAGATAAATAACCGATTTATTTCGAGCGTTGATATCGATACGTGGACGCAACAAGACATAGTATTTATCTGTTGCGCATTGCAGTGAAACGATCGCCAAATTGAGGTTGGCAAATAGCTTCTTCGGTTTGGTTTTGTCATAATCGAAAATATTCTCCTCGAGCAAAATAAAACCATTTTCACGAATCGATGCTTTGAGATTCCTCAAAATATTCGTGGCATCGGTACGTGCGATGACGTCGTACGCAACAATCAAATGACTGTTTGATTCAACCGGACCAGTTCTTGGATCTTTGACAATAACGTGTTCATACTCATTCGTCGATTGACTTGTTACATATGCTATTTCGCTGGTTAATTGTGGTTCACTTTCGATTATACTTTCAATTATTTTCGCAAGTGTTGTTTCGATCTTTTTACCTTCAACAACATCGGTCACTTTGATCTTGAATGCACCACCACTGTTTTCAATGGCCAAGTGTGTGGCAGCCGTGATTGCATTCAAACGTGCCACTTCGACCGTATTTCCCAAATCTTCGTCGGCATTATTGAGCGGTACATAAATATATCGTTCCAATGTGGGTGGATGAAAAGTGCCTGAATGACGTGGAGCTAATGCAAATTTATAACCACGCACCTCAACACCACCCGCATTAAAAATATTCAAATTTTTATACATATAAATTGGTACGTCGGTGCCACTTTGAACAATCTCTAGATGTTTGATTGGATTGATAGAAATACGTTCAAAATGAACGGGCACGTATAATTCACGTAAATCTCTGCCCAGAATACAAAATTGGAACATAGTATCGATGAAAGAAACCCAATTTTCTTGCCATTTCAATTTACCAGCAACAGCTTTTGAATCGGATAAGGTGATGCCACAAAATTTACCACCATAATCATAACCGCGAAGACCTAGATCCATGTAGATGTCGTCAGTGGTCAATGCAAGTCCCGATTTATCTTGTTCAAGTGGTGGCAATGATAATGATTCGTGCACCGTGTCATCGAAAACAGAAATTTTACCCGATACAGTAAGTGAATTACCTTCACAGATGTCAAATTGACCAGTTCCATATAGGAAATTGATGGCAAATTTAACGGAACCATCTTTTGATAGAATGGTTGCACGGTGGAAAACAATATTCTCAAAGATGACCGCAGTTTTTGCGAAATGGGTATTTTTTCGCTTGGCAAATGCACGCCATACCATTGTCAAGTAACCGCTCGCTGGAAACAATATACGACCATCTATTTTGTGACCAATCAAATAGGAGTCAGACGGTTTCGATAGATTTACTTCAACAATCGTTTCAGTTGTGGACGCTGGAAGAAATTATTGTGGCTCTTTTAAACACCATATTGCGTATTGATACAACAATTTCATAGAACTATAGGTGTTGACACTTTCGAGGGACCTGATTGGATCCATTGCATAGGCGGGCAGGGAGTGTTTCTGTGTTTTTCCTTACGAGACTCCTCAACTAGGGGATATCCATGCGAATTAGAATTAGCACATTAGCAAAAAAATAGGGAAATTTACAAGAAGAAAATAGCGAAATTAGCAATAAATAGCAGAATTAGCACTGTACATGTATATACTTTAGTAAGCATTTATTCTTGAATTTATTGAAATAATTAATTAAAATAAAATTCACAAAACAAACGAATTGAATAGTGTTGAACTAAAATGTATCAAAATATGTAGTTAAATACGCTTTTTCCCATTTTTAAATAAAAATATATTCAATGGCACGTAACTAAGCACGTTCCATCTGTATTAACTACAATTTACGAATTGCAATCGTAAATGTAGATTTGATGACAGATTTCTTACTGAAAACGTATACGCTAGTGCCTGCTTCAAATATACACGTTGAAAGTGTCAACTTGAAACATTTACGTAAACACATTTCGGTTATTCGATCATGCAGTCAATCTGACGTATGCAATATTTTTGACGTACTAGAAAAATTAGCAAAAAA